ACAATCATCAAACTCAAAAACAAGATAAATGCAATATTTAGATTATAAATAAATAAGGTCCATGTTATACGAATTTAATTGAATTCGCTATATGTAAAAAAATTATAAAGTTTATATTTTTCTCTAAACTTGATGATTTTGTTTCAATGTAGGAAAAATATCTTATTACCACAGAGTTCCTATTCTAATTGATTTGTTTGATTTAGAATACTTTTAGAAAATTAGTATATTATTTGGGTTTTGTTATGTAGTTTAATTTCTTTTATTTAATGTGTTTAATAATACTGACAATAATCACTTTTAAAACATCAAATTTCATTGATGTTATCGTTATTGTATTGAATAAAGTTATTAAAATTTCAATATTTATTATTATGTTAACAAGTTTATTAAAAAGTTGTTTTTGTCTGATCTATCATGGCATCCATGCTCGTCTGAGGCCATAGAGATGGCCATATCTGGTCGGTCATTTGGGCCCTGTCGATGGCCAGATCTGGATGGCCATATGGGCCACGTCGGCAGCCAAATCCTACTACTCTAGTGATGGCCATGGCTAGCATTGGTCCACGACAACTTCCATTTTTTTTTTTTTTTTAGTTTTTTGTTCTATTTTTAAATTGTTAAACCTTAGTTGTCTTGTTAAAGCAACTTCCATTTATGAGTGAAAATGTTACATGAAATTGGTTCTTAAAAAAAAATTTGTTTGTTGAAGATCCATGGTGATGTTGATATACAGTGGGTTTGCATGTGGCTTTCTCAATGGTATATGGTGGATTTTGTGGTGCGAAAAAAGTTTATTTAATTGTAAATTCTACGGTGGATGATGAAAGAATATGTGTTGAGTTTACTGATTTATATGGCGGGTTTAGATGGAGGAAGAATGGGAGACTTTGAATTTAATAATTTTAATTCGATTTTAAGATTATTGGGTAAAAGGGAATATTGTTAAAGTTTTTTTAGGTAAAAATAAAATTTAATAAATTTTGGAAAACTTTGATAACATTTAAAAGGTTTATTATAATAGTTAGATTCTTAGTTTTAGTTTAAAGGGTAAAAATGTCTTTCATAGTTGAACAAACTTTTATTGATATGAAATTTTGAACGGAATTGGGCTTAGGGTCCTATTTCTGAAATTAATGGGTGCTTAGTAATTATATGAAATGCATGGAGGTTAACAAAATTTTCCCTTTTTATTGAAAATTAGAGGAAGAAAAATTGTTGGACAGTCAATTTATTCCATTATTTGATTGAAATTGTCATGACAAAAATTATAAAAGTTGATGTGTGAATAATGTGAAAGTCTTTTGCTGAGCTTTCAAATCTATGGTGAACGAAAAGAACAAAAAAAGTTGGTGCCCATCAATTGATTGAGATTGTTAAGACCAAAATAGTAATTGACTTGTGATTTTAAATATCAATTTGATATATAAATAAATATAATGAATTAAAAGATTAAAGAAAAAAATTGATTTAAATCAATAATTACTGTCATATCATCATCACTGATCCTTTTTTATATAAAATTTTTAAAAGCCTAATAATTTCTATTAATAATTTGGCAAATCAGTTAAGAAAAACTAAAGTAAAATTATTAGTCATCCCATTTATTCCACTCTTTGATTGAGGTTGTCAACTTGTCTTGACTAAAAAAAGAAAAGTTGACCCCTTAATAAAAAATAAAAAAACTAAAACTTTGTTCTTTTATATAATTTGATTAAAAATAAAAATAATTAATATTTTTGTTTAATATTGCTTAATAAATCATTGATTTGACCTTCCAAGTTTAAGGTAAACTAAACAAACAAAAACTATCGACCCATTAATTGATTGAGATTGTTATGACTATATTAAATAGTATTATTGACCGTCTAATTTACTCCATTAGTTTATTGAGATTGTCATGACTAAAAACACAAAAGTTGATAGAGATTTCAAATTTAGTTCTATATAAATCAACACAAAAAGGGGAATCAAGAAAAACTTAAAGCAGAGTGAACAAGCAAATTGATAGGTGTTGAGAGAGAGAATTGTCATAATGGAAAGGGTGTTAATTAAGTTGTCATTTTGGGTTGTATTAGTTTTGGTTCAAACATCTGGATTCAGCAGTTGTTTAGAGAATGAGAGGATTGGTCTGCTAGATGTGAAGTCCTTCATAAAAGCAGTCAGTGATTTTCAAACAGAAGAATTTCTTGTTTCATGGGTTAATGATAAAATGCCTAATTGTTGTAATTGGGAGGGAGTTCAATGCAACACCACTACTGGACGTGTCATCAAACTTTCCCTTTATCGTACAAGGCAATTCAATTCATATTTCTCTGGTGATAGAGCTCAAACTCTAAATTTATCTTTGTTTCATCCTTTTGAAGAGTTGAAAAGTTTTAATTTATCTTATAATTACTTTGAAGGTTGGCATGAGAATAAAGTTACGTATATTATTTAAGTAGTTAGTTTAAAATATATACTCCAATTAAATTACTCTTGCAATAGTATAGCAATATATATTTATTTAGTTTTTAAACTTTTTTCATAATTAACATTCATGTTGATGCGTTAATAGATCATACAAAAAATTAAATTACAAAGCATGCTTATTAATTTGTTAATTAATTGTAAAAGTATTGTTTTGATGTGTTAAACAGTTTCTATTTTGTCTTCTATTAATAGATCAACAATTTTACATAATTAAAAAAAAAAAAATTGTGCAAAAATAGATTATATGGGCTATATATGTATGTTGATGCATTAATTGTTTTTCTTTGGATAATGAATAAATATATTGAGTCAATAATGTATTGACATTTCTTTTCCAGCATATGATGGCTTCGAGTGTTTGAAACAACTCAAAATCTTGGATCTTAGTTTGAATTACTTCAATGCCACTCTTTTACCGTACTTGAATAACATAACTTCACTTACCACTTTGAGTCTTGGAGAGAATAATACGGGAGAATGTCTGAAATCTGCCAAACAAGGTATATATGTTTTAAGTATTATTCTTTAATTTCTCATTAATTAATCTTAATCTTTTTATTTCTTATTTAAAAAAAAAAAAATAACTCTTTGCATTGGTGCAGGTATAGAGCTAATCTGACAAACTTATCAAATTACTACCATCTTTTTTTTTTTTCTTTTTTTTTTTTTTCCTGCAGGTTTAGCAAATTTGAAAAACTTGAAAGTATTGGATTTATGCTTTAATGGAATATATGGATCTCTATCGAGTCTAGGTACCTCCCATGAAGCAATTTTTGTTTTTATTTTAATTATTCAAAGTTAAAAATTCAATTTAAATTGATATATAGAAACTTCACCTCGATATTAAAGGATTTTCCTTGTAGATATTATTAATCATTTTCTTGAGATATATTTTTTAAGTAGTTTAATGAATTTATAATATCTGAATTGGGTTGGTTTTCCTAAATTCTCTTCCAAGTAATTAAAATTTCAAGTTTGATGGTATAAAATAATTTACAATTTTTATTTGTAATGACATGATTGATATATATATATAATGAAAAATTGAAAGATAATATATACTCATATTATCGATAAAATTCTATCTGTTCATGCTGGAGTGCGCAAATATTTTGATTTTACATTAATGTTTTGTGTATAAAGATAATATTTTCTTAAAATTTTCCATCAATCTTTCTTTTAATTAACTCTAAATTTCTTTTATTCTTTGGTACAGGTTTAACAAATTTGACAAACCTAAAAGTATTAAATCTCGATGAGAATCAAATCAACAACTCTCTATCAAGCCTAGGTATGCAATATCTAATAATTTTTTAAGCACTCTTTGCAATATGATAATGTATGAATTAAAATTAATTTTTCAATTTAAAATCTGATTGTTTCTCTTGGCGTAGGATTAAAAATGTTGAGAAACTTGGAAGAATTGGATTTAAAATTTTGTATTTTTTACCTACTTTTCTATTTCTTCTCTAGTTTTTTGTTTTGTTTGTGCAGGTTTAGCAAATTTGACAAACTTGAAAAGCTTGGATCTAAGTAGTAATCACATCATCACTTCTTTAGCAAGTTTAGGTATGCTATAAATATCACACTTGAAAAAAGTATAATTACAAGTACTCTTGCATAAAAGTAAAGTAATTTTTTTTTTACTTTTTTACTTTCTTTTTTTTTTTTTTTTTTGGGGGGGGGGGGGGGGGCAAGGGGGGGAATCTTGTTTATTTCTATTTTCATTTTATCCCTCTTCTTTCTTAAAACTACGACAATGCCATCCTTGTTGCTCCCAACTTCTGCAATCTGCATTTATTTTTTCTCTCGTTTTTGGTTTTGTTTTTATTTTTGTAGGTTTAGCAAATAAAAAGAGTATCATTACAAGTACTCTTGCATAAAATTAAAAATTAAATAGATGGCATAACAAACATATCAATTTATTTATTTAAAAGATTTTATATAACTAAATGATTTATCTAAATGCCAATACTTCGTCCCATCTAGAGATTTTATAATAAAAGAGAGTAGGATATATTACCAATCAAACATATCTGTCACCACCACCATACCTTCTTACAATGCCGCCGCCTCCCGTGTGACAATCCCGAGCCACTTCACTACTTTGTTCAGAGTTGTAAAAAGCCCCTCCGCCGCCACCCCTTCCACTTCAGCCTCCATACCCACCCTCGTCGCCATAGCCTCCACAACCGTCCAGTTCACAGCAGGCCTGGAATAGCACGAAGCCAGTTGCGATTCCGGCAACCAATGCACCCTTAAACCATTACCACAACAAACAAAAATGCCCAAACTAAACATTATATTAACCCAACACAAGCAACCAGTGTGCCCCAAACAACCATCAAATTCACCTTGAAAACGAATAAATCCATGATAACATTAAACAAATAGCGAGAGAGGGAAAACAAGAATGAAGAGAAAGAAGAAAATATATTAGAGAAGGTGGCCCTACTAGAGATCGTAGTGGTTTCGAAAGACGATGAAGGTGGGGCACTTGGGTTTTTGGAGGTTGTTAGATTTTGGGGATGAGGGAAGGTGAGCAACAGGTATGAAAGAAAATTGGCGGTGGAGGATTTTGGGGCAGTGGGGTGTGGGAGAAAGATAAAAGGGGCTCGACAATTTTTTCTTAAATTATTAAAAACTAGTTATTTATTAATTTATACATTTTTCATTTATTCAAAAAACTTACTTTTCTCTTTTATTTAATAAATTGATTTTTAATAAACAAAATTATAATTGTTGTTTAAGGGTAGCAAATTTTTAATAGAAATTGAAGATGGAAGTTTTAAGTCACTAATTTCCAAGTTGATGAAGGTAATTACCTTCTATTTGTATTTTAGGTGTGTAAGTAATATTACCCTTTAATAAAATTTGTGCCGAATTTTTTTTTTAAGATAATGGGTTGGAAAATGTACATTGGCCAAACTTTGGGTTGAGAAAATGTCATTTAGCCTTTTAAAACATTTGAAAAACTTAGAGAAGTTAGAAGTTAGATCAAGTGCATATATAAATTAATGCATACAAAGGAAAATTTAAAATGAATGAGTTACCAATAGATGATATTACAATCACATAACAAATATATCAGTAGATAGTTTAATACTCGGCCCAAGGCCCATCAAATAAGTAGTAACAGTTATATTTTACTTTCACTCTTCTTCATGCAGGTTTAAAATATTTGAAAAACTTGAAAGAGTTTAATATGGTGCATAATGGAATGAGTGGCTCTCTTAATTCGCTAGGTAATATTAATGACAACCAATAGTTACAATCATCCGATATTTTCTACCTTCTTTTCATATTCTGTTTCTTCTCTCGTTTTTTGTTTTGCTTCTGTTTGTGCAGGTTTAGCACATTTGACAAACTTGAAAAGCTTGGATCTAAGTGATAATCAAATCAACACTTCTCTATCAAGTTTAGGTATGCTATAAATATCACACTTGAAGAAAAATATAATTACAAGTACTCTTGCATAAAATTAAAAATTAAATAGAAGACATTTCAAACATATCAATTAATTTATTTAAAAGATCTTATATAAGTAGTTTAGTAGTATGGTACTACTATACAAAGATTGAGATATTATCATTTGTATGATTACTTCACTGTCCTACTTTCTCATCCAACTCTCTCTTGATGTAGGTTTACAAAATCTAAAAAAATTGGAAGAGTTGAATATGGCATTGAATGGAATGAGCGGTTCTCTTACTTCGCTAGGTAACATTAATGAAAACCAATATTTGTCAAAGTTTTAGATCAAAATATTTTAATAATCTTATCCACTGTCATAATACTTTAAAGCCTTTAATTTAAATATGTTAATGTTGAAATTTTTTATAATAACTTGACCTTTTAAGTCTAAAGTAGTTTTTTTGAAAAATTAAATGAAATTACTTGTAATTTTAACTGTTAGACTCAATTAATCTTTGGGAATACATAATTATCTAATTTTTTCTATAGTTTCCTATAAGATTTTTAAATTCTATTTCTCTTTTTCATTGGTGCAGGTTTAGTAAATTTGACCAATTTGAAAAGATTGGATTTAAGTGAGAATCAAATCGCAAATGCTAGAGGTATGAAAAATAAACAAATTGCAAAATTTTCTTTTAATGTTAAAATGAATAATAGCACCTTTATTCCAAGTACTGCTTACATGATATGTGGATAAATAATAATAAAAAAAAAAAAAATGAATTAACTAAACGAACTTATAAAATAAATAAAGTGACAATTACTTAACATGTCTATCAAATCAATATACGTTGAAGAGTTCGTATAGACCAATAGTATAGTATTACTCATTAAACTATGTTTCATTGTATTTGCTAGTTGGCTCAAATAAACTAACCCCTTTCTCTTGATGCTAGATTAAATAATTCAAGAAACTTAGAAGTGCTGGTAACTATGTATAGAAGTCAACCAGATTTCAAATATATGCATGGCTTAATGTTATAATTAATAATCTGATCTTTAAAAGAAAATTGAGAATAATTCAGTGATCAAGCAAAATATTTCATATTAGAAAACTAACGTAGGATTAAGACTAAAAAGGGAAAAAGATAATAAAATAAAATAATAATAATTAACAGAAATTAAACTAGTTATGAAAATCTAAAATTAAAGAAGAAGCATGTAACGATCTGCCATGAATTAGAAAACAAATACAAACTCAAGGATTTAAAAATCTTTTTTTTTTTATTTTAAGAAAATGATGAAAATGTGAGGAAATATGGAAAAATATTTTAAATTTTAGAGCTACTCACAATATTTTTTATGGATGTGAAAGAACAATGAGATATACAATATAGAAATTAAATAGGACTATCTTTTCCAAACATATCAAATTTATGTTTTCCAATTATTAAAATAAAAAAAAGTTAATTTTCTAGTACAATTTTAATTAATTTGACTTTTACCAATTTAAATAAGTATATCCAAGTTATTTACTTGTGTTCTAAATTGATATTTGAGATACAATCGACCTTATTTTCTGTAATATCCTGTCTCATTTAATTTTTCATTTCTCTTAGGTTTATCAAATTTGAAAAAGTTGAAAGTGTTGTATCTAACTGATAATCAGATAACTGGCTCAAAATCAAGTCAAGTTACGCAATATTAAAAAAAATAATTCAAATAGTTATCTTTTATACTTTTTAAAGATTGTGAAATTAATATATTTATATTATTAATTTCCTAATTCTATTTCTTTAATATATTGTTTTAGATAGATATGTTGAGTTAATCTTAATAATTTTCCGGATACTCATTCCTTTAGAACATTGAGTTAATCTTATAATTTTCTGAATTAATTTTCTAATTTATAAAGTCTAATATTTTTCTTATTGGTATAGGATTAGAAAATCTAACAGCCTTGGAAACGTTGGATCTAAGTGACATCATCATAAGCGGTGATCTAACCTGGTTAGGTAACAAATTTATCTTTTTCATTTCAAGATCAATGGCTCCTTGTATCTAAATTTGAATAAAAACTAGAAAGTTATGGCTCTGCAAATTTGAATTTGATTATTGGTTTTATAGATGATAAACATCTTAAAACTAATATATTGAATTATATGTCCTTTCTAAATAATTTCGAGAAATTTATTATTGCAAGAAAAGTATAAAACAAACAACTAAATTGATTTTGTTTAGTAATTAATTTTGATTTTTGTAATTTTTCAAAATATAGCAAGTAAATATTAATATTTTTGGTGGTTGTAATGAATTGAAAGAATTCAAAGAAAATATAAAGTAGAAAGGTTATACTAGATTTGAGATAAATAGATTTAATTAGAGTAATATTGAGAAATTAATTAATTAAAGAGTGGAACTACGTGAAGAAATTAATTATATAAATAAAAATTTGTATATATATTGATGTGGTACAACTCTTTTGTTGCCACATCACAATATAAAGTTAAACTGAAAGGAATTTTCCATACTCTTTACAATTCGTGTACGAAAATTAAAATATTTATAATATTAAAGTAGAAGAAAGCAATCTATAAATTTAATTATTATAACTTTTTACAAATATTTTATATTTGTTTCAAATTTATTTGATTATTTATTTTCAGTTTTTATCTCTTTTGGTCTCAATTGACAATTGCGAAGTTGTTGATCTTACTTTTTCTATAATTTCCAAATATCTTATTTTCAAATTCTTTTTATCTCTTCATTGGTCTAGGTTTAGTGAGTTTGAAAGATTTGAAAGCATTGAACCTCGGTGATAATGAAATGAATGGCTCTCTATCAAGTTCGGGTATGTAAAACTTACATATTGTTTTCTAATTAATATAAAACTACTGTATGATGCATATAAAACTGTTTAGGCACATTCACAAATTGTAACGGTGGGCTGATTTCTTCAACTTTCTCATCAGGAATATGTGAGTTAATGGCTCTTGTTGAACTAGATCTTATGCACAATAATTTTGGTGGTCAAGTCCCTCAATGTCTCACCAACTTCACCTACCTCAAGGTTCTTGTTCTTTCATCAAATCAATTAAATGGAACTATGCCATCTGCTTTTACTCAAATGAAATCTCTTGAATATTTGGATGTCCAAGAAAATAACTTTGAAGGAAAATATTCACTAAGTTCATGGGCTAACCATTCAAAGCTTCAGGCATTTGCACTCTCATCAAGAAACAACACGTTTCAAGTGGAAAATGAAAATTGGTTCCCTGCATTTCAATTGAAGGCTCTCAAGTTAACTCATTGCAACTTACATGCCATCCCTAGTTTTCTTCTATACCAATATGACTTATTATCCCTTGATCTCTCTCATAATAAGTTGGTTGGTACATTTCCATCTTGGTTGTTAGTAAATAACACAAACTTGAGAGGAATGTATTTGGTGAACAACTCATTCTCAGGAACTCTTAAGCTGCCAAACACCAAACATGATTCCAATGTCGTTTTAGACGTTTCTCATAACAATTTCAGTGGTCAACTCCCTAAGAATATTAGTAAGATCTTTTCGAATTCCTTAGAGCTTTTGTCCATGTCCGGTAATAGTTTTGAAGGCAATCTTCCTTTATCAATGGGTGAAATGAAAGCGCTTAGGTGGGTGGATTTTTCCAACAACCATTTTTCAGGAGAGTTACCAGGTGATTTTCTCATTGGTTGCTTCTTATTGGAATTTTTGAACTTGTCAAACAACAATTTTCATGGGCAAATATTTCCTCAATATATGAACCATCCTCGATTGCTGTTCATATATTTGAATAATAACAGCTTCAGTGGAAAAATCGGAAGAGGATTACAAAATTCTATGTCTTTAGTAGTCTTAGATATCTCCAACAACAAGGTATCAGGTCAGGTTCTTAATTGGATCGGTAACTTTTCAAACCTCGTGTTTCTTCTAATGTCAAAAAATCTTTTAGAAGGAAATATTCTTGTTCAATTAAGCAAGTTGTCATCCCTTACTGTTTTAGATGTCTCTAAAAATAGGTTGACCGGACCCATTACATCTTTTAATTTTTCATTTATCAAAGAGTTGTTCATGCAAAAGAATGCTTTCACGGGGCCAATTCCAAAGTCATTGTTTAGAAGCTCTGAGTTATTGATGCTCAATTTGAGGGACAACCAATTTTTAGGAAGTATTCCTAATTTGATCAATAAGCATTCAAGTTTACGTGTTCTTCTTTAGGGAGGCAATCACCTACAAGGTCCTATAACTAATCAGTTATGTCAATTAAGAAACCTAAGCATCTTAGATCTTTCACATAATAGACTTAATGGATCAATACCTTCATGCTTTATTAGGATGATATTTTGGACAGGACAGAGTGATATTCATAACGAGTATAGGTCCACAAATGATTTGGCACTCGAACAAGAGCTCGTGGTTTATCCTTTAAATTACTTCAATTCCACTTTATCATTGAGTTCATTTGAAGATGGTTTTCCAAATTTTTATTCGCTTTGAAGTGAAATTTTTGACAAAGAATAGGTACGATTTTTACAAGGGTGACATTCTTAACTTTATGACTGGAATAGATTTGTCAAACAATGACTTGATTGGAGATATCCCGTCAGAAATTGGAGACCTTCAAGGAATCAAAGCATTGAATTTGTCCAATAATTTCTTGTCAAGATCTATACCAAAGAGTTTTTCCAATCTAAAAAGTATAGAAAGCTTAGATCTTTCCCATAATAAATTAAATGGCCAAATTCCTGAACAATTGACCGAGTTAAACTATTTAAAAGTCTTCAATGTATCGTACAATAGCTTGTCTGGGCCGACTCCTAATGAAGGTCAGTTCGCTACCTTTGGTGAAAGCAGTTATATAGGTAATTCTGGTCTTTACGTTACACTAGTTAATAAGAGCTGCACCAATGCGCCAACTCCACCCTTGTTACCATCCAATGGAGAAGAAGGAGAAGAATCTGCAATTGACATGGTGGCATTTTATTGGAGTTTTTTTTTATCATATGTCACTATCATATTGGGGTTATTGGTGATTCTTTGGATCAACTCACGTTGGCGTATGCTATGGTTTTATTTTATTGGTGAATGCATTGATTTGTGTTTTTATTGGCTTTCAAAATATGTATCATGCTAGGCCACAATAAAACAACTTGAATAATGTTTTTACCTTTGGCTATTGTGACATTTTGTTCTGTTGTATTCGGTTTTCACTTACTAAGAGTTTCATGTTTCCATGTGGTGTGGTCAATTTCCATAATTTCTTCAGCTCAAGTTGTTTCCTTGAATTTGGTTTATATTTTAACTTACATATTGTTTTCTCATAAATAGGGAGCGTATACATGCTAATTTAGCTTGTTGCTTTATACAATAATGTTTTTCATTTTATTTTTTTCCCACTTATTGTTATGAAGACTTTGCAACGATTTAAAGGATCCATATTATAATTCAATGCAATGAAGGATGCCTGATTTAACAATAACGAAGGACCAATTAGTTCTATTAATATTCAAATAAAAAAATAGCTTGTAAATTATTATTATTATAATTACCTGTTTAATCTTGGTGAAAATTTGTTATTATAGCTGTCATCCGATAGATTAATCTAACATTTCTAAAGGTGATTAAACCATCATCAGAGATATAAGCTAAAGAAAGGATTGTAAGAGATGTTCGGCACGTAAGAAAATAAAAAGGAAAGTTGAGAGAAAATGGGTCTACTTATGTTATTAGTAAAAATATGTCTTTACGTTTGAGGGTATGTCCCTTTATATAGGTGAGTTTGGGCACGAAAAATAGCATATTATACAATAGCATTATAAGCTGAACATTAATACAATTTTGTTTTTCTTCATATGAGGCAGCAGAAGAGTAATAAATTACTTCTCACTGAAATAGATACTTGTTCAGGAAACTATATCACGAACCGGTAAGATCATAAGACCATTGGTGAATGAAGGCCAACAATGACTAAACTATTTAACATAGTATATACAATAATAGACAAGCTAAAGAGAACTACAAGTCTAATCAATACAAGTAAGCTTGGTAATCAACTAGTTCAGAGAAGTCAGTTTGAGGCATATACAATAATAAGCTATTTGTTGTTGGAATATAGAAGCAAAAATACAACATTTTATGAGAAATTGACTTGTTTCTAAGCACTTAATAGACAGTTGATTCTACCCAACAACAATTAAAGAATTAAGTAAACAGCACAAAGCACACAATACCTACCTGGGTAACATAGTTCCCATACTAGCCCTGAGCAAGAACATAAGCAGATTCCAAAATTTCATCCACTATACATTGACCTTGTTGTTCATCTGAACAATGCTCCAAAACTCTATTGAAAAGAAAAATAAATAAATAAAAAGATTAATAGATATTAGTTTCAACAAACAAAATGGGATCTCAAATAAATAAATAAATAAAGTCTGCACAACCAAGAAATTGAGTTCTATTACCTGAATAACACGAAAACCATATGGGTGTGTAGAAAGCCAGGCAACTTGTCCTCGAAAAGCAAAAATAATAAATCCAATCTTTTCTGTAGGTACACATTTTATACACTTCTGTACCACATGATTCCCATTCTGGTCATGGACACATCTCATGACATGCCCATCAAGCTCAAGGACTAATTCTGTTTTCTGATCAAGCTCATATTCGAAAAGAAAAAATAAATTCACAAGATTAACTAAGAGCAAGAATATACATACAAAGCTATGATGAAAACTCAGATAGCTTTATTACATCTAACACAAAATTCTGGACAAATTGCCTACCCTACAGAATCTATAATGCAACAACCTATTGCTACAAAGCATCTTTCAAGAATTTCAAAATTTGGACAAATTTTGAGGCTATTATAACATAGTTATGCATAGGTAGGACCAGCAGATGTATTGTTATTAGTGGGAAATTCAGTCTGAACATATCCTGTGAAATTTGTTGAGGTTGTTGATTGTGGAGTAGAATCAGTAAAACCAGTACCAGGTCTAGGAACAAAACCAGTAGTTACAGAAGAGAAACTAGCTTCGTTTGAAAGAGGAGGACCTTGAAAATTAATATTGAATCTGTGATAACATTGCAAGGCAGAATGCCCAGCTTTGTTACATAGTTGACAAATTGGTTTGCCTTGGCCATTAGACCTTCCTCTCCCTCTTACTCTATTTACAGGAATAAAACCTCCTCTAGCATTAGATGAATTACGGACAGTAGAAGCTTTACCATAAGAGGCTACTTGGGTTTAAAGAGGTATGTAATTAGACAATGAACCAGCAGCTATATTAGTAACAGCCTAACAGGTATGTTTCCTGCATGGAGATCAACTCTAATAGTTTGAGCTTTGTCTGTCTTAACCTCATAACTTTCCAGAACAAGTTGTGTTTCTTGAAGAGAGACTACAACAATCCTTGATTGCAAGTTCACAATAGCTGGATCGAATTCAGACCCTAATCCTTCCAAGATATACAAAATTAGCTCTTCTATGGTAACAATATGTCCTGATGCTGCTAAGAAACCAACCATCTCTTTCATTTTATGAATATAATCACTGACCCTAAGTGTTCCCTTTTTGGTACTATGTAGCATATTCCTCAGATGTAAAATTCGAGATATTGATTTAGTGAAAATACTATTTTCTAGAGTTAAGCAAATTTCAGCAACACTAATGAATCTAACAACATAACCAAACACAACTTCTGTAATAGAAGAAAGAAGCCAATCGATAAGAATTTGGTCTATTTTCTACCAAATCACAAACTTAGGGTTTTCTTGAAGTGTTACCTCATTCGAGTTTTCAGATTTTACCTCAACAAATAGTGCAGGACAAGCTTTAACTCCAGTAAGATAGGGTTCCAAACCATGAGTTCTAGATCCAGATAACACCAGTGATTTCTAGAAATTGTAATTTGATTTCTGAAGCTAGACAACATTTGGCTGAGAGTGATCTGAGCTGGAGTCGAGAATTGTAGAATCCTTGTAATCAAGAAATTTTTCAGAGAAAGGTTGATTTACTTTTGCTAAAGAACTCATCAGATTCAAGTTCTTTGCATTTATTTAAATTTCATTAGTGTTTGGTGAAGAGGAAAATGAAGGAAAGTTTTCCATTTTTGATGACATATGTCAAGTTGAGAAAAATGTTAAAACTGAATTTCTCTGATTTTCTATTAATGGGAAGATATGTTTATTGCAGAGTAGTGTCCTTTATATATACAGCTATTAGCAAAATTATGCTTTTGATAAAGTCTTATAAAAGGGTAATAGCTGCAACCAAATACTCTCAATCAAGTTGTAAAACCTGTAACTAATTAGTAACTAACTAACTAAACACAGGTTAATTATGTGCCGACTTGACAACATATGATTTGGCTGACACCTTAGTCAAGGATTTTTTTCTCTATAGCTCAGCTCTATAAAATCTGAAGCTGCTCTATCAACAGACACAAATAACTTTTATGTGTCAATCTATATCCAAATTCCAATGAATACACACTTATTAAGTGTGATAAGCAAAATTATGCTTTTGATATGGTCTTATAAAAGGGTGATAGCTGCAGCCAAACACTCACAGCATTGTTTAATCTGGTTCCAACTAAAACAAAACTTGGAAAGGAGAAGTAAATATAATAAAGCTGATGGCAATTGATTAAGCAAGTAAACATCAGCACTTAAAAGCATTCCACCAAAAAGATAATAGCTTAGAGAGTTTTGGGAATTTTCCAGAGTCTAATTTTTTATTTTCTTTTCCTTTTTAGGAATCTTGTTAATTCATTTTATTAAGGCAGATTATTAATCCTCCTTCTGCATCAAAGTTTATTAGACTTGGTAAGAACTAAGAAGCATATTCTTTGAGGTCTACACAAACAACAACATACCAAGTCATAGCGGAGTGATTTCAAAACATTATTGTACTAATTAAAATACCGAATGTGGTAATGTAACAAACAGAACAAAGTTTAGGAGCCAAACTGTAGGAAAAGTTGGTTCACTGAATTTACCCCAAACAAGTATGACTAACCATATCATTATTTTCCAATTACAACAGTTAACCTTACGAGGCAAAATCTATCAATAAAAGTTGAAAAGGGAAAAACATGAACATTTTGATTATAAATGAAAGTAGAGACAGAGAGAGACACATGAAAATTTAGGTGTAAAAAATTCTATTGAATTAATTACAACAAAGTAAAGTTATATTGCTCAGGAATAAAGCA